GTAAAAACTTCAGTATAAGCATATATCAGGAGATTGGAAAATGCAAAAGAAAGGAGTAATGAACTTGAAGTCATAATCTAAATGAATCAAATAGAAGCACAGAAGAAAAGAAGTATACAAAATGAATATAATCTGTTACCAATATAACACTACCAAGTTGTCTAATATACATGTATTCAAAGCTCCTTTAAAAGAGAAGATAGTTCATGGGGTAGAAAAAAATCTGAAAAAATTTTAAGGGCCAGAGAAAATACCCACATTTGATGAAAACTATACACACACTGATCCAAATAGTTCAATAAAAACAAAAGTAAAATAAAAACAAAGAAAATCACTAGGTCCATTATAATCAAATGGCTAAAAACCTGTGAAAAGGGAAAATCTTAGGAGAGCAAACAAAGGGTACAATACAAGCAAAGGAAGATGTGAATTACCATTGATCCTATCAGAAATAATACAAGCTAGAAGATGATGCAACAACACCTTTAAAGGTTTGACAAAAAACAAAAACTTGTTAATTTAGAATTCTATGTCCGGTAAAAATATTCTTCAAAAATGAAAGTATTTTCACATTGACAAAAGCTGAGGAAATTGAGTACTGTATAAGTGCAGGAAGCCACCACTTGCCGATACCGTCACGAGAGTGCATTAAGGAATGCAGAAGGCAGATGGACTTTGGGCATTAGCAGGGCTGATGCTAAGCACAGATGATTAGTGTTGAGGTAAGTGGGGGCTCCAGGCAATTCCCTAACCTGATAATCCTTTTACTGTTTACCAAACTTTACCTTTGATATGCCTGTATGCATTGCTAAAGGGCAAGTGTGTATTCAATTAAATAAATAGTGGACCAGGCCAGAAGTCTGTGTGTCTCTTTAAGAAAGAGGCTCCACCTGGCCCCCAATGCCTCCTAAATTCATATTTCTTGTATAGCATTTTCATTTATACGTCGGCTCCTCCTTCAGATCCTGAACCCCACCGCAAAGGTTGCAGCATATAAGGAATATTAAAGGAAAATCTTCTCTGACTGAAGAAAATAATATCAGATTAAAACTCAAAACTACACAGATAAATAAAGACCATTGTATATAGTAAATATAATGGGGGAATAGTCCTCATACAAAATGTTTAATTTAATCATTTAAAATATAATTGACAGTTTATGGTAAAAATTAGATCAATACTTTGTGAAATTACACATATATAAAAATAAATTATATGATAAAAGCAAGGACAGGAGGGAGAAAATAAAAATATATTTCCTAAAATTCTTATATTATTTATAAGCTGACACAATAGTATTTGAAGGTAGATTATGGTAAATTAACATTTATCATAAAAAAATTCATATTGTAAACCCTAGAACAATCCCTCGGAAAAGATATATCACTATTAAGTTATAGAGGAAATAAATTAGAATATTGAAAATACTGAACTCATCCCACATAAGATAAGAAAATAGCAAAAAAGAAACAACAGCTGAAACACATGCAAAAAATAGCAAGGCAGAAATTAAAATCAAACATAATAATTATTAAATGGTCTACACACTCCAATTTTTATGTCAAAGATTATCAGACCAGATAAAAATATCAGACTCAACCATAAGCTATCTTTAAGAACTCCACTTTAAATATAAAGACACAGATATGTGAAAGTAAAGAATGCAAATATATATACCATGCAAAAACCAATCATGAGAAAGCTGCAGTATCTCTGTTAATATCATAAAAAATAGACTTCAGAATAAGAATATTATGAGATATAACAATAGACATCGCATAAGAATAAAGGGATTCATTATCAAGAAGACATAAAGTCTGTCCTGGCTGGGTGACTAAGTTAGTTGGAGCATCTTCCCAAACACCAAAAAGTTCAGGGTTCGATTTCAGGTCAGGGCATGTACCTAGGTTGCGAATTCAATCCCCAGTTGGGGTGTGTAGAGGAAGCAACTTATTGATGTTTCTCTCTCACATAGGTATTTCTCTCTCTTCCTCTCTCTTCTCCCTTCCTCCCTCTAAAAATCAATAAACACACCCTCAGGTGAGGATTCTTTTTAAAAAAAGAGATAAAATCTACAAATGTATACATCAAAAAAACAGAACTTCAAAATATGAAAACAAAAGCTGATTGAGTGAAAGAAGAAACCAACAAGTCCACAATTAACTTTTTTCAGTAATTGATAGGACAGAGAAATCAGGTAGGACAAAAAGGCTTAAAAAGTCTACTAATGCCTAGCTGGTTTGGCTCAATGCATAGAGTGTCGGTCTGTGGACCAAAGGGTCCTGGGTTCAATTCCAGTCAAGGGCATACAGGAGGCAGCCCATCAATGATTCTCTCTCATCATTGATGTTTCTATCTCTCTCTCCATTCCTCTCTGTGAAATCAATAAAAATATATTTTTAAAAAGTCTACTAAGCCACTTGACTTTATATTTATAGAACACAATACACAAAAACTACAGAATACATATATTTTCAACTGCACACAGAAAACCACTCACCAAGATAAACCATATTCAGGTCTATAAATCAAATCTCAATAAGTAGAAGAAGATAGAAACCATTTAGGGTATGGACAACTCAGGACAAAACTATGAGTAAGTAGAACTAGATTTGGGCTCAGGAGACTGATTCCAATAGCCAGGACAACATATCTGCAAAGTGGAAATACTGGGAAGATATTCTTTTTCCCAGGACCAATATTTGAATATTGGTCAAATATGTAGAACTTGCTCGTTCCTATCTGATAAGTGGAAAGAAGGAGAATGGGTTTTGTCCCATCCTATTTTTTTATTATTTAGAGCCATCATATGTATTATTGAGAACAATTGCTAATGTTATCTGAAAGGGAGAAAACATATAGGAGTGGAAACAAATTAAAACAGTGGTGGCATAAAGTTGGAGAAGAGAGAGAGATAGCCGAAGGAAGTAGAAACATTACAACTTGATTTGGGGGTGGAGCAAGAGGGATCATAGGCATGAGCATAGGTTAGTCTTGAAGGGCATAAGTTAATGAGTTCATTTGACAGAATATTTGTATCTAGAATATATAAAGAATATGTACAACTCAATAATAAGAAAACAAACCAATAAAAAACAGGCAAAATATTTTAATATACTTCACAGTATAGGAGTCAATATTCACAGGAAAAGAAGCTAAATATCATTAGCCATCACAAAAAAAAATGCAATTAAAATAACAGTGAGACACTACACATATCCACTAGAAAGGTTCAAATAAAAAAAATTGGAGCAACTATTACTCTCATTGATGGCAAGAGTGTAAAATGGTACAAATACTTTGGACAATAATTTCCCACTTACCATATGACCTAGAAATTGCACTCCTAGTTGTTTATTCAAGAGAACTGAAAATATATATCCACAAAAGACCTATACATGAATAGTTGTCGCAGATTTATTCAAAATAGCTTCAAACTGGAAAAATCCAACAAATGATTGAAAAAAACAAATTGTAACATGTTAGTGCATTAGAATTTTACTCAGAAATCCAAAAAACAAGCTGCAGACACATCCAACAACATGAATGAATCTCAAAACATTATCTAAGCAAAAGAAGTCAGACACACATAAAAGTGCATTTTGACATTCCAGTCTGAAGTAACTATAATACATTCAAGTGGATACATCAAGAAGCAACTGAAAATTAGGACTGGATCTTAGAAGAGAACTCAGAAACAAATATGTAGTTTTGTCAAAGACAAAACAGTGGATGGGGTCACCAAAAAGGGAAGTTTAAGATTAAGAGAGCCAAAGACACAACCCTGGGTAAAGATTAGCATTTTAGGGACACACACACACACACACACACACACACACACACACACACACACACACACACACACACACACACACACACACACACACACACACACACACACACACACACACACACACACACACACACACACACACACACACACACACACACACACACACACAAAAGGAAGGAAGGAAGGAAGGAAGGAAGGAACGAAGGAAGGAAGGAAGGGAAGAACACTGAGAAAAAGAGAAAAAGGAAGAGAGCCAGAAGAAAGGAGTATTTCAGAAATAAAAAAAAATCATTCTGGGAGAGGACATTCTGTGTCAAAAATCCTAGAGGGACTAAGTAAGAAAAGAGTAAAATGCTCCTTGCACTAGGCTCTATCATTCGTGAGTGTAGAGAAATCAAGGTTTAGAGGGGCAATGAGAGCAAAAGGTGAATTGTGATGGATCGAGGAGTGAGTGGGCAGAGAGGAGATAGGGACAGAGAATGTACCCTACTTCCACAAAAGTTTATTTCAGAAAGGAAAAAAGAAACAAAGAAGTAGCCACATATGTGTATTTCTGAAATTCATCTTCTACCTGTTTGTAAATTTGGGGTATTTAATAGTTACTTTGCAGCAAGTGGATTCTCAGTAAGAGGTTCATAATATCACCCATGTGTTTCTGGTAAAAAAGGGAAAAAAAGCTGACTTAGAGAAAAGTGGATTTCATGAACTAGTTCATGTATTATGTAAAAGCAAAGATCCAGATTGCATTATAGAATTGAAATGTGTTTTTGCAAAGTCTTGCTTTCGCTCTTGTGCAGAAGACTAAGCTGTATTTCCCTGTTCTGGTTCATTTATATCTCATGTGATTGTGTCACCTTGTGTTTCTCCATTTAAAAGTTAAAGGCAAACTCAGCAGTTCCTTTTTCTTAAAATGCTTCAGTAACCAGCAGTTGCCACATTAAAAGCTTTAGCTGGAAGATTATAAAAATAGTCTAATGCTCCCTAGCAGGTAACTACTTTTGAACTGATTCTCCTTTCAGGGATGCAGTGAGGTCAAATCGACCGGCAAAAAAAGGACAGCAAACGCTGGATGACATTCAAAGGGCAAAAGTGCATTGTGTTTGGAATGTTTTGTGTAAATGTTAAATAGCACCCACATTGAACCACCTGCTTCTTGTTTAGAAGAGTTCAAATGAACAATTTCAAGCACAATTGAGTAACACTCAAAAGAAAATCAAGTGTAATTTCCTAAGTTGCTGAAGCAAGGGTTCTTCTGTGAAATCACCATTAGTATTTCTAAATCCAATTTGATTATATTTAAGATTTACTGCGCACAGTTCAGTGGCACCTGGGAATTTCTTCAGGCGGAGATGGAATTACGAGGTAGACCTTTTTAAATGATTTCTTTTCTCTGTGTGCGCGCACTTTAAAAATCTTTGGGTCATGTCTTTAATAATCTCTCATTTCTTTTTTCTCTTTCTTGTGAATATATTTTGCTTTGCTTTTGAGACACACTAGAATGTAGGGGGAAAGCACCATAGAAAGACACCTACTTCACCCCCATGTACAGCTCATCTTGAAATTCCTTACCTGCTGTCTATCTCCAAATTTCACCAATTAGGGGGAGCGGGGGCGGGGAAGTAAGGGTAGAATCTTCAGGGTTCTTTAATAAATCTTCTAAGAAGGTAACTTTTACTGCCTTTATTAAACACCAAGTTCACATTATCATTGCTACTGTAAAATTTTTAGTCTCCCTCAAAGGCAAATCAAGTTCAAATGCTATAATCTGAACCTTATAAAAACCCTCCATTCTACTCCTATAGGTTACTCACTGCCATGAGCATTCTTACATTTTTCTTATCAGGGACTTCTTTTCTGTCTACATAACACATAAAAATCTTTCCTAACCTGCAACTTCTACTTGTTCATTTTCTTGAATCTTCCAACCTAACTCATACCCCAATATCTGTAATCACAATCAGCCTTAACAATTTCTTCCCGATGACTTGTCTTCCTAAATAGATTATCTTCTTAAAATTCGGGAGCTTATTGTTAGCACCACCGGCAATGAAGGTTATACTGTGCACTTCGTAGCAATGTTTGATAAAGATCTGTTGGTTAATATTTGAGTGGGAAAAGAATTTTAATCTGTTTTAACAATAAAACAGGTGATTGTAATTACAATTTTGTTAGATATAGTGCTAACAAAAAATTCTCTATTGAAAAATGTTTCTCATTAAATAAATTTTAAAGAAGGTAGTCAAATAAAAGTTTTAATAACTATTCTTAACTGCAGCATATGTATAGTTCCTATAAAAGTCAGACACTATTCTTCTTTAATTAAATCTTTATTGTTGAAAGTATTATATATGTCCCCCGTCTTCCCCCTTCAATTCTTATTCTTTTAAGTATTCTTAAAAAATCTCACTTTAGGACACCCTGTAAAACAGCCTGGACTTGGTGATTCCCTCAATCTCTAGGAGTCACCCTAAAGGGACAAAAGTAACTTCAATTTCAACTTCATTCATAGGTAAACTATGTCAACAATGTGATGTTCACCAACTTCTGCACTTCAGTGTTAAAAAATCAAAATGCTGAAAAGTTATTACAACTGAAGGAAAAAAAAACACTACTAGTGGTATTGCTGAATCTACAGCATTTGTTTTATTTCATGCATAAATTTCACAATCTAGATTGACATGAAGTAAATATTTGCCCTTTCGCTACAACCCCAAGAAGAAGCTAAATGAAGCCAGATGAGAACCTGACCTCAGGACTATTGAGCAAGAATATCTGGCTTGTGAATCTGGTTAGTTCCCACTTAATGCAAGATTATGAGAACACAATAACAGAACTGCCCCCAAATGGGGGTTGGGGGGTGGGAGGAAAGAACTTATGAACCCATACCAAAAGTAAAACCAACACTGTGCTCCGCCTCTCTTACGCTAAGTTCCGGAGGGCTGGGGAGGGGGCGGAGAGAATCATTGTAGGGTTGAAAATATAAACCAAACCACCTAATCTTCTCATAATGTTATTCTGGAAAAGCCACTATAAATTTGGCTAAGCTATTCTTGGTTGGGTTTATAATTATCTCTTAAGGTTTATTACAGACTTTTGGGGGGAGAGGTGGAGGGCCATGAGTAGCACAGAGTGTTTTTGACTGTGCAAAACTCCTAAGGCTTTAGTCTCTGTGATAATATATACTAAAAGATATATGATAAAATAGTTAATACAAAGTGCTATAAAGGAAAATAAAGCGGATTAATGGATAGTGAGTGACAAAGGGTGCTGCTCTATCGAGTAAGGGTGACAAGAGGTAACATACAAATACCCAGAGGAAGAATATTCCGGCCGAGGAAATAGAGCAAATCCCCTGGGACAGGCACATGCATGGCAAGTTCAGTGACAGGAAGAAGCAGGAAAGCAGTTGGGGCTGGAGGTAGGGGGATACCGGAAATGAAGGCAGAGAGGGGGTCAGGTTCCCTGTGCCTAAGGCACTGGTAGACCGCGTGATTATTTAGAAATTTAAGAGTAAAAGAAGCTATTTTAGACTTGAGAGCAGGCCAACCCAGGAGTCTTTGAATAAATGCTTAAATGAATGCAAAGAATAGTTACTCTACAAGAAAATCAAACAAAATCTATTATCCTACGTGCCCTCTAGAGAAGGGGCTATTGAAGAAGAAAGTGTCTCTGCCGGGAAGGAAGGAAGCCAAGTTCAAGGGCCAACTCTTCAATTTCCCAAACCCCCTCCCTATAATGCATGCAAATGTAAATATAATTTTTAAATGATAGAACATAATTTCATAGAAACCAAAAGATGACACATTTTCATTTTATTTAAAATAGAGCTCTATATGCTTCACAGAAACAAGTGCAAGGAATGCTTAATTTATTATCTTTGCCACTTTACAAAACAATAAACTTTCAGAAAATGCATACATAAAAATATAACATTTAGGCCAATAAGTATTTACATCAGGAAGCAGCTAAAAGTTATATTTAAAAAGCTTTAAAATAAATACTTTATGACTTGCTGTTAGTAAAGCTAAACATTTTGGTATGAAGGCTATCACTGAGTTCTTCCTAAATTTAAAATAATATTATTTCTAAACAAAAAAATACATATTTCCACAGACTAGAAAGCCATGAAACACCTGAATATCACTCATTTCTCTTTGGAATTCTCTTCAGCTTCAACAATTAATTGCAACGATTAAAATTGCCACCTGCATACTTTTTGCTACCATTTATTGCCCAATTTTCATTTCAAGACCTATTTCTTCATATTTCTTATATACATTCACTTGGGCCTGTTGAAAGATACTATATGTTACACACTTAAGAACATCAGCTAGCTTACAATAAGTCTTTACAACAGTGCTTTTTTTCACAGTAGTTCAAGAGTTCAAGGCATGTTTCACAGTGTCAAACTGCAACGGTTTTGACAATTGTAATGTGCTCTTAGGTACAAGAAAAGTCACACTACCAAAAGTATAATTAGTGTTAGTACTTTGAAAGGCAATCCAAAATCCCTTTTTTTGAGATCTGAATCTCATTTTCTGTTTTTAGGACATTTTAAAACCTGAAACTCAGATTAAGTTTGAATAATTTTCTCGAGTTTAGGATCAAAAGAGTAGAAGAGCTTGACACTAGTCATTGTGGAAATGAACTGGAATTTAATATTTTGGCTCAGATGTCCTTACTTTATATAAAGGTAAAAAATAGTTGGATTTAAAAAAAAAATCTAATTGCTTGTGTTTAGCCTACTGGAGGAAATGGGGACATTGGTAAGTCTCATTCTATACCTGCACTAATCAGAACTTAGGCATGTAATTGCCCCTTTATAGGCAAAGTCAATGAATATGTTTGCAAATGGAATGAAAAGTCAGAGATACCAAAATTAGGGTCCATGTATTTTGGTGCAGAATGTCTGAGTTGAAAATCTTAATCAACAAGGTAAATCATACACTGTCTTTTGCTGTGTTGGGAATATTAGGATGAAAATCTAATGTCTTTTTTCCTCTCAGTTCTCTATTGTGTTTTGCAGATGCCAAAACCACTTAGAAATTTTGATTCTCATTTTCTGAAGATGTATAAGCAGGGCCCTTTTCTGAAAAATATTAAACTATTTCTGAGTTGAGGAGCCAGTTGCAGGTTGGATTTCAGCCCCTACCTGCCCCTGAGAATGTGTGTGCAGAGCACACAGGCCCAGCTGGATCCGGTGGCATCAGCATGAGCTAATTTCCCAATACACTCAGATTCCTAGTGGCTCTTTTACCATTCAGGTGCATGTAACCCAGGGTAAGCATCTTACAGTCAAAACTATTAGATCTGGAGAGGAAAACTTTGTGTAGGATAACATGGACCAATAATAAGAAAATATAGTCCTATCTGAAAATATTAAATCTAGGATGAGATTTTAATACTCTCCCAACTAAATTAAGAAGTACCCTGGCAACCCTCATTAGAGAGATATTAAAATGGGGATTACTACCTAATTTCAATATAATATTGTATTTAAACCATATGGTATAATAGCTTAACTTTAAAAGATGGCCAAAGCAAAACAAGCAATGGTATGCAGAAATAACATTAGCAATCACATTATGGGACATAGATTTCACATTCTCTGCTCAAGTCACTATTTCTTAAGTGGACTTTAGCATTAAGGCAACTGTAGACACATTCCTTATATGTTAGCTGAAAGTTAGAATATAAGTAGACTGCTAGTCTTCTTTAAAGTGTAAAAGAAAGCCACTCCGCCTTTAACAAACACCCTCTTCATCAGGCCGAGTGAAACATTACTAGAGAAAGCATGAGATGCAACCTCTCATATGTGGGTATGGGAAAGTAAAATCTTGTCAAGAAGTTTGGTGCTCTTAGGCACAAGAAAAGTCACACTACCAAAAGTATAATTAGTGTTAGTACTTTGAAAGGCAATCCAAAATCCCTTTTTTTGAGATCTGAATCTCACTTTCTGTTTTTAGGACATTTTAAAACCTGAAACTCAGATTAAGTTTGAATAATTTTCTCGAGTTTAGGATCAAAAGAGTAGAAGAGCTTGACACTAGTCATTGTGGAAATGAACTGGAATTTAATATTTTGTGGCAATCTGGCAGGAGCTAGAACTACTAGAACGGGAATTACAGAGTGTTTAGAATTGAGGAAATACAAATTTTTAATGTAATAAAAAAGATGAGTACCAAAGATAAACTAATGGAAACTAGGAGAGAAGTAAGATAATATGCTATCAACATTATCTCAAATTCAACTACCAAATCATCTTTCACTCATTCCAATGCATAAAGAGAAACAGCAATCCTAGAGAAAGGAGAGAAAAAGAGTTATGAAGCATCTCATCATTACTTGCACTAAGAAACTACATGTTCTCACAATTCCTAAAATTTATTCAGCACTACCTAGCTATTTAAAACTCTTCCTTAGCCCATTTTTGTTTTTCTCACCGACCTCACCATGAGTGAGCAAATTATTTCAGCAGAAATAAAAGTAAGATTTGATCATCACTATCAAATGGCACATTCAAGGTGGTTTTAGATGCATGTTAATTATTTTTTCATTTATAAATGTTGGATATAGTAGAGCACCATGGTGGGTGTCCCTAATAAATAATAAATAGCATCTCTGATCCTTGGTTCTGCTAATAAATAACATCTCTGATCCTTGGTTTCTTCATTTATAAAAATATGGAAATTGCATTATAAAATCTTGTCCATCCTTTATGATTCGCAAGTTCTGGTTTTGTTTTTGTCTGTGACACATCTGTAATAATTTAGACCAGCGATAGATTCTCCATCATTAGAATAAGTACTGGGATGATTATATTAAGTAATAACTAGTGTGGGTTTTTTAAATTAGAGACTAAACCTAATTTTGGAAGGCAGTGAGGGGAAAAGGAGGTGAGAAAAAGAATGAAATGTAAAAGAAAATCTAGAGGGGGAAAAAGAAAGTCAAATATCTGAAAATTTGCATTGAAATGTTTTTTAAAACTGCCTGTATTATAGAATTTTTTTTAACATTAGCTCTTTGATTAATTTTCTCATTTTCCAACTGACATTTTTTTCTGTTTAGTAGAAGCCCTCAGGAGCAGAAAGATTATGCTCTTCACTAAATAGGACATAAAGTCCACATTAGGTCTTAGTTTATGGAGGGCTAATGCAAAGCCTTGTCACACATAAAAGTAGTATGTTTCCCAAGAAAAATGATACTTGGAATATCTCCAAAGACCACAACAATAACATTTTAAGATACTAATTCTCAAACATTCCAAGTAAATTAAAATGGTATATTTGTAAACTTCTTTAAAGGAACGAATATTGAAAACATCAATTGCCATCAACTGTATTCATTTGATACTCTACGTCTACTTTCTTAACTTCCTGGTGGGAAATAAAATATCCATATTTTAAATACATTTATTTAAACAAAATACATTTCCATATTTATTTTAAATAATTAACCAAACACTATTCCCTGACAAGCAATTTTACGTTGGATTTTGTATAATGGCAAATGTGGGCTCCCTGCTCTCAGATGATTTGCTAGTAGGTGTCCTCATCCTGTTGTGTAAACTCAAAGATAGCCCTGAGTTTTCTCTGCCCCCAATAAGTCACATGGTGGTAAAATTCCAGCACAGCAGTTTTCCTTTGTTTTATTTAATCATTCTACTAAAGTAAAAGCAATACTAAATTATTCTGGGACTTCTAATGAATCTATTGAAGATCTTCATTTTAAATTAAAACCTGATTTTTAAGTCTTCAGACACTGCAATCAGGATACTATTTTCATACAATCATGGAATTTAAAATGCAAAGTTAATTGAAAGTGTAAAGACGAAAAGCAAGTGCTACACCTAAAATAGTGCATGACACAGTCATATTTCACTTAACTTTCAAGTCAGAACAAAAATTAAGAATTTTTGATGTTACATGCCAAATATTTTAGACATAGAAGAAAGCACACGAGTCTGTACCCAATTACACGCAAAGATTATAAGGCAACAAGTTCATGCTAAACTAATTGTCAACAAATATTGTTTCCCTTACTTTAAGGGAGTGATGCTGCATATATATATTCCTTCACTATTTTATACAGTACTGACATTTCATAAATAGCATTTTCTCAAGCTTTATATTATACTCAAAGACAAAATATTTAAAAGGAGCAAAGAACAATGACACTTTGAGTCAAAGAACAATATTTTTTGTTTTTAACACAATTCAAAAGAAATAAATATTATACAATAAGACTCCTCCAAAAACAAAAAACATAAAGTTTTACAGCATAGATATATATATATACAGTAAATTTGTTTAATGTTCTAAATGTTATCTTATTTTTAAGTGAGCATTTCCTATTTATAATTTTGAGAATTAAGAAAAATTAGAACTTTTAATTTTTCTAATCATTTTTGTTAATCTACCCTCTTTCTTAAAAATAATGTACTTGGTAATTAAAATATAAAACTATTGAGTTAGGAGTTCTAGTTAGCCAACATAAAAACAAAAAAAATCTCAAAATGTACAGATTTTTCTGAATTGAAAGTTGAACCAATAAAAACATGAAATTATATTTGGCCACACTCAAATAAATTATAAACATAATGACAAGGAAAATAGAGAGGTTAAAACAGCCTTTCTTAACAATTAAGTAAGTATATTCACCCAACATAAGTGAGTAAAACAGAAAATGTTATCCTCATTTATTTGAAACTATAGTACAACCATAGTAAATAAATAATTTCATTCTCATATATGCAGAAACAATCTATGAGAAATGAAGGTAACAAGCATGAGCAAGATTATTCCCTTCACATAAGCTTTTTAAAAAATCCTTCACATATGCAATTTTTAAAAGTTCACATATTATTTAGATTGTCTGGAATAGCCAAGTAAAGATGTTTCTACCTGTATTGCAAATTGAAAGTAATTTGTCATATGGAACTCAAAACATCCCACTTTGTCATACAGAATTGAAAACATCCTAATTTGTCACATGGAAGTCAAATCATCTTGTCACATAGAACTCAAAACATCCTACTTTGTGCTATATTTATTTGTCGATTTGCTTTCTTCCTCCACACTTCTACATGTCTGTTCCCATTCTCAAGTTAGAGTGTAAAATCCCTGAGGGAAGAACCTATCTATCTTTTAATTTTCCTATTGGGCCCAATATTGGCAAGGAAGATATGGGATGCCCCACATTATTTAAGGAATGGGTGAGTGAGAGTGAAAGTATATACACACTACAGCTGCCAGGTTTTTGGCTTTGATATATCATCCCAGTAAAATGAAGAAGGGTTCAGTAACATACGTCCACAGATAAGTAAATTATAAGCACTGCAGGGTGGTCTATGTGAAAATACATATATATATATATTTTTTCAGACACTATTACCCAAGCTGTGCTTCGCAGAACATTGAAATGTGGAATAATAAAAGGTTTGCCCTCCTCTTAATAAAAAGGTTCCATGGTCAAATAATTTGGGAAATCCATTCTAAAGAAATCCAAGTAACATTTCTTTACTGCTAGACCCATCAAAGCACACGACACACTAATGTGCGAAATCACATTCTAAGAATCTATCAAATAATCCTTTTGGTCTTGGATCATCTCAGTAGAAGAGTGTTCTAAGGAACAGAGTTTAGAAAATAGTATTTTAGGACAATAGAAGATATCATGTTAAACTTCACCAAATTCCTTCACCAAAACAGAATTATAGATTTGTAGGAAATATTTAATGTTCTATGTATTTTTCAGTATTCATCACTTCTACTAGTATCTCCACAGGAAGTAGAATACAGGCAATATTATCATGAGCCTTCTTCTGCACCCACTCACTCACTCATTTTGAAAGGGTAGGAAATGTTTATTTAATCTTACTGATACCCTCTATGGAATTTGGTTGTTATACTTCATTTAAGGGTTTCTTAATTTTTTTCAAGGTATTTCCTAGTTTCTTCTTCCTTTTCTGTTCTTTTCCTTCTAAATGTGTATGCACAAAAGTAATAGGGACCTCTGACATGCATCTTAAAGACATCTTCTGACAATGGATCTTTATGTTTGATTTACCTCTGCACATTTTTTAGAAAACATTAGTACTTGTCTAACAAATAGGGTGACTCTGACAGCTCTATGGAAAAAACATCAATGGGTATTGTCCTAAGAGTTCATGCAGATCCATTATGATTCTGCAAACAAACAAAAAAAACCTCAATTTGTCTTGTGTCACTAAACCACAAATATCATCATGAAAGAAGTTTTGGCACAGGAAGAGAGATACTGTTGGAATTAAAAGGGCAGTAAGACGCTAGCTAACTCTGCAGTGTGGATGGTCCCAAGGCTCAACCTAGAGCCAGCTCTCCCACTAGTGGTGTGACTTTGAGACATTTCTCCATGTCTCCAGATGTCAAGCATCTCTTCTGTAAATGAGAGGAAGTAACAATTTCAGTGGCTTTCTAACTGTTTGCTTCAGGGGCTGCTGGATTATGAAGA